ACTGGTTCCATGGTTTTGCCCTTTCCAGAACGTCACAGAGCTGGAATCATCCATTTCGCATTCCTTTCTGATTGGCTTCTTTCTTTGAGTAAGATGTGCTTGAGTTCCCTTCGCGTCTTCTCGTGGTATGAGAGCTCATTTCCTTTCGGTGCTGAATGATACAGCTCAGCATGTTAACTCACTCACCCACTGCTTGCTCCCAAGTTTCGGCAATGAATAAAGCTGCTATCAATGCCAGGTTTTGGTGTAGACTTAGTTTTCGACTCCTTTGGGTAAATAATAAAGGATTTAGTTGCTGGATTGCAGGGTAAGTGAAGGTTTAGTTTTTTTTTTTTTAAGATTTATTTATTTGAAAGAGTTACACAGAGAGAGGAGAGGCAGAGAGAGAGAGAGAGAGAGAGAGAGAGAGAGAGATGTCTTCCACTAGCTGGTTCACTCTCCAGATGGCTGCAATGGCCAGAGCTGTGCCAATTGGAAGCCAGGAGCTTCTTCCGGGTCTCCCACGTGGGAGCAGGGCCCCAAGGACTTGGGCCATCTTCTACTGCTTTCCCAGGCCACAGCAGAGAGCTGGATGGGAAGAGAAGCAGCCCGGACTAGAACTGGCGCTCATAAGGGATGCCGGAGCTTCAGGCCAGGGTGTTAACCAGCTGCGCCACAGTGCTGGCCCCAAGGAAGGTTTAGTTTTGTAAGATACTGCCAAACTGTTTTCCAAAGTGGCCGTATCAATTTACCCTCCTACCAGCAACCAATGAGCGTTCCTGTTGCTCCATGTATCTGTCAGCATTTGGTGTTTGCAGTGTTTTGGGTTCTGACTATTCTAATGGATACCCTGTGATAGCTCATTCCTTTTAATTTGCGTTCCCCAGATGGTGTAGGTTGTGGAGCACGTCTTAGTATTCTTAGTCGCTAGCTGTATACTTTCCTGATGCGATATCTGGTTTTCAATGTAGTTCATGATTTTCTTACTGTTGGATTTTGAGAGTCTTTATACATGTTGGATATAGCCCTTTTTCTCATGTATATCTGGGTACGTATTTTCTCCCAATAGGAAGCTTGTCCTCTTACAATGGTAGCTGTCTTTCTGAAAAGCAGAGTTTAGTGTAATGAAGTTTAACACATGAATTACTGCTTCATCCCTTTAGTATCGTTTCTAAAAGTCATCACCAAACCCAATATCATTCAAATTTTCTCTTGTGTTCCATTCTAGGAACCTCACAGTTTTGTGTTCTATGTTTAGGTATATGAGCACATATGTGAAACATGCATGTCTGGTTCTTCCTTTCAGTCTTTGGTTTTCCAGTGCCATTTCATGGAAAAGGCCGTATTTCTTCTGCTGCATTACCTTTACTCCTTTGTCATGGGCAACAGACTATGTTAGTGTAGATCTATTTCTAAGGTCTCAATTCTGTTCCATCAACCTGTTTGTTCTTTTTTTTTAAAGATTTATCTATTTAGTTGAAGGTCAGAATTAGAGAGAAAGAGAGAGAGGAAAGAGAGAGAGAGAGGAGAGAGAGAGAGAGAGAGAGAGAGAGAGAGAGAGAGAGAGAATCTCCCGTCAGCTGGTTCACTCCCCAAATGGCTGCAGTATGGCCAGGCTGAGGCCAGGAACCGGGAGCTTCTTCTGAGTCTCCCACACGGTGCAGGGGTCCAAGGACTTGCACCATCTTCTGCTGCTTTCTGCTCCTTTCCCAGAAACATTAGCAGGGAGTTGGGTAGGAAGCAGAGCAGCCAGGACTTGAACCAGTGCCAATATGGAATGCCGGCACTGCAGATGGCCACTTAACCTGCTACACCACAGTGCTGGCCCCTGTTTGTCTGTCCTTTATACAATAATTCACCTTCTTATTGACCATGCTGTATGTGTTAGAGCTGGGTAATATGAGCACTACCTCATTGTTCTCCTTAAATACTGTACTTGTCATTCTGGGTCTTTGCCTCTCCATGTAAGGTTTAGAAAGCATTTGTTGTCATCCACAAAGTAACTTACTCGAATGTTGGTAGGGATTGTGTCGACTCTACAGATCAACCTGAGAAAAACTGACATTTTGAGAAAGCTGTGTCTTCTTATCCATGAACATGGACTATCTCTCCATTAATTTTGTTGTTTTATTTCATTAGATTTTGTGCTCTTCCTTCTTATACCTCAGTATTTCATTTTGGAGGTGCTAATGTAAATGATATTGTGGTCTTCATATCAAACCCCATTGGGCATTGCTGATACATAGGAATGCAACTGGCTTTTGTATATTAACCTTGTATCTCACAGCTTTGCTCTAGTAACTTTTGAGTTCCAGGAATACCAGTGTCATTTTAATTGTATGTGAATCATCCATTTCTTATTCTGCAAATTTTGCTGACTTTTCCCTCCTTGTCCTCTCTCCCTTGGTGCTCCCCCTCTTACTCCTCCTGCGTGGCTATTTTAGCCTCACTTTTATCTCATCCAGGGGGATACCACTGGCTTTCTGTGTTGTCACCTTCCTTGTTTCTTTCTTATTTTCTCCTTGCTTCAGTTTATTACATCAGTAATCTTACATCATTGTAAGATATTTTCTAAAGGCCCTCTTGTTTCCTCGAATACGTAGGTGTGCTGTGTGGTTATCACCCTGATTTGTAACTGAATCCTGGGCCTTATCCTTTTTCCACCAATGTTATCTTCTTTTTACTTCTCACTTGTTTGGCTAGAGTGTGACTTCCAGAAGCTTTCTCATTTGAGGGGTTTGTGACACAAATTTTGAGTTCTTTAATATAAAAACAAAAATAAAAACAAATCAAGAACCATTACTACACCTTCACACATTATTGGATGTTTATGTGGGAGAAAAGTTCTAGATACCAAGTAACTTTCACCAAAAAAGGTGGAATATCTTGTTTTCTGGTCTTGTAGCATTTATGCATAGCTGCCAAAGACTGAAACCAATTTAAATTTCATAATATTACTTCAAAATTCATGGAGAATATATATTATGAAAAAGCTATGCATCAGTTTCAAAAATGTTTTGCATTAAAATAAACTTGCCTTTTAATTCCATTTTTCCACAAACTCAAGTTCCCTCATATTTTTGATAGGTAATGCATTTTATGTTTTTGCTTTGTAATAATTTGAACCTTCTATTTATCAATGTGGTTGTGAAATATACAAGTAGTTATAGAGAGTTTTGCATGGTTGAATTTTAATATTCAAAGAATATTTGGTAAAGGAATAATACCAACTGAGGAAGATGACTTTCTATTTTGTGTAATCCAATTACATCACTTGTGTTGGAGGACTTGGTTAGAGACATAAAAATATGAAAATTAAATTTCAGGTAGCATAAAGAGACAATATGAATGATAACATCAAGATTTTAAGTGTCTGGGAAGATTTTAATACATGAATTATCTCCAACAATTGGCAATGTGAGAGCAAACAGACTGTTTCTGAGATTTGCAAAGCAATTGCATATGCATAGTTCATAATTTTAGTATACCATATCCCTTATCATTTCTAAGGTAATAATATCCAATTCAAACATTTTTAAAACATGTTTTTATTTTTTTATTTACTTTGAGAGGGGGGACAAAAAAAGAAGGAGAGGCAGAGAGAGGGAAAGAGAGAGTGAAAGGCGGGGGAGAGAGGGAGAGAGAGAGAGAAACTCTCATGCATCAGTTCGTTCCCCAAATGCCCATCTGTCTGGGATTGGGTTGGGCCAAAGGTCTAAAGCCAAGGGCTGGGAACTCAACCCTTCCACAAATGCGCCTGAGTGCTCCCCTCTAGGGACGTACAGGAAGCACAGTCCATGCCTTACAGGGGACTGCGTTTAACAGGGAATACACACAGGAGCTGCACAGTGTTCTGCAAGAGCTCAGAGATCAATGGGGGTATGGAAGGGGGTGACCTGGTGCCTGATTGGTGGGCTGAGTACCAGTCCAGGAAGGTTGCCTTGAGTCAGAGATCTTGAATGGAGATGAGAAGAGCAAGCTGGATTTATTTATCTTCTTCTTGGACAGCCTCTGTATAACATTCCTTCCTATGATCTTGGAACTTCAAACCTAGCATTTCACCATTAAAAAAACTGGATTCTCAAAATAGAGTTTTCTCTGACAAAGTGCTGCACACTGGGTGGCTTGTAAACAGCAGAAGTTTGTTTCTCAGGATGTTGAGGTTGGAAGTCTGAGATCGGGCGGGCACGGTCAGGTTCAGGGGAGGGCTGTCTTCCAGGTGATGGCTATCGGCTTTCTGTTGCATCCTTGTGTGGAAGAAAGAGAGCAGGGGCGCTCCTGGGAGTCCCTTTAAAAATACTTTATTCTGGCATTGTGGCATAGTGGGTAAAGCTGCCGCCTTCAGTGCTGGCATCCCATATGTGCACCAGTTCAAGTCCCGGCTGCTCCACTTCCAATCCAGCTCTCTGCTATGGCCTGGGAAAGCAGTAGAAGATGGCCCAAGCCCTTGGGCCCCTGCACCCAGATAGGAGACCTGGAAGAAGCTCCTGGCTCTTGGCTTTGGATAGGCTCAGCTCCGGCCGTTGTGGCCAATTGGGGAGTGAACCAGCCGATGGAAGACCTCTCTCTCTCTCTCTCTTTCTCTCTAACTCTCCTTCCCTTTCTATGTAACAAAAGACATTAATCTCACTCTCGAGGGACTAATTCTCTTGATCCTATTACTCCCCGAAGTCCTACTTCCTAATGTTTCACACTGGGGGACAAGATTTGAACATAAGGAATTTTGCGGTACAATAATACACATGTTCCTTAGCTTATGGTGGAGTTACATCCCAAAAAGCCCATCATAAGTTGTAAATATTGTAAGTCAGCAATTAATTGAATACATCTAACCTACCAAACATCAGGGCTCAGCAACACAGCACACCGTAGAGTATGCTTCAATTATCTTCTGCATCACATGGTTGGTGGGAAGCTTGGTTCCTAGCCACTGCCAGTATCCCTAGATACTATGGAACTGTCTATTGTTAGCCCAGGAAAAGATCATAACTCACAATGGGAAGTAACCTTTCTGCCAAATGTGTAATTCTTATAGGTAAATTGAGCTATTGTGAGTTGAGACTGTCTGTCCTATACATTGCATTATTCCCTGTACCTATCAAATCCATGTCCTAGTCACATGCAAGATATATCCAACCCATCCCAATAGCCCCAAGCATTTTAACTCATTCTAGCATGAAATCCAGTCTGAACAGCCATCGACTCAGAGGTGGGTGAGACTCCAGGTGCCAATCACCCTGAGGCCACCCCTCCCTGGCTGTGAACCGGGGGTTCCAGATCGTGAATGCACTTCTGAACTGGGATGTTGGGACAGACATAGAATAGACATTTCTGTTCCAATAGGAAACCCAGGCAAGGAGGGTGGGCCCCAACCAAGTCCAAAACTTGCAAACTGAGCCCAACAGGACCCAGAGGTTCAAGAATGATGTGGCAGGGCTCCAAGATAATCCTATCTGCAGTCTGTGTCTCTTGAGACGATCAACCGAGTCTGTAGCTGACACCCACACTAACGTCTTTTTCAGGTGAGTGTTCTACCACAAGCTTAGTGTTACCTGGCAAATGCACTTTCTCATTTTCCTAACAGGAACAAGTGGATAATGTCAAGTCTTCAGGTTCTGTTTCATTCTGCTTAACAATTCCTTTTCTAATTCAGTTCCCTCTCTTCTCTCCATAAGCAATCAGTAGGAACCACGCTTCTCCATCAACACTTCATTAGGAGACCGCCTCCTCCTTCAAGTTCCTCTTTCACAAAGCACTAGAATCTGAAGACAATTCGGCCAAGTTCTTTGCCACTTTCTAATAAGGATCTGCCTTCCTCCGTGCCCTGAGAGCATTTCCCTCTGAGTTCATCAGGCTGGTCTCTGCCAGCAGGCACCAGCAGGCACCGCCAGCACCCTCCATGGTACTTAGATATTTTCTAAGAAGCTGTCTCTACAGAACCCCCTTTTTCTTCCTGAGCTCTTATCATAATCACCTGTGCAATTCTACTCATGGAAACTTGACTTTTTTTTTTTTTAGTAGATGCATCAGAATTCTTCCAGTCTTTACCAGTCACGCAGTTCTGAAGCCAACACACATTTTAGGTGTTTATTACGACTATACCCCCACTTCTAGTATCAATGTCTGCCCTTTTTTGGTCTCACATGACAAAGTACCATAGACTAGGTGGCTTACAGACAACAGAGATGCAACCATCAGATTTCTAGGAGCTAAAAGTCCAAGATCAAGGTGCTCCCAACGTTCTCACCTTTTTTTCTCATTACTTTGGGGGTTAAGGGGTCAACAGGTGAATTTAGGGGGAACAAAACACCCCATCCATTACAGAGATGGGGCTTTGCTTAACATGGAGGAAATAACGAAATTCCTCTGCAAAAATGATCTTTCGCTTTCTGAGAGAAAAGTCAGGAGAGGCCTAAGCATCAGCTCAAGGCAGCATCGACGGCTGGGGCAAGGACCTTTGGAAAAGAAAAATTTGAGAGTGAATCCAGGTGTCTGGGAAGGAAAAGCCAAGAAGACTTTGCCAATGTCTTTTTTCAGTTGTTTGTTTTTTGTTTTATTTTTTAAAGATTTATTTATTTATTTGAAAGGCAGAGTTACAGAGATGCACAGGGAGAGAGAGAGAGAGAGAGAGAGAGAGAGAGAGAATCTTCCATCTGCTACTTCACTCCCCAATTGGCCGCAATGGCCGGAGCTGAGCCTATCCGAAGCCAGGAGCCAGGAGCTTCCTCCAGGTGTCCCTTATGGGTCCAGAGGCCCAAGCCCTTGGGCCTTTTTCTACTGCTTTCCCAGGCCATAGCAGAGAGCTGGATTGGAAGTGGAGCAGCCGGGACATGAACCAGTGCCCATACGGGATGCTGGCACTGCAGGTGGCGGCTTTACCTGCCTCGCCACAGCGCTGGCCTGACATTGCCAGTGTTGAAGCTGGAGAGGAGGAGCTGGGCTGAGTTTTGGTCTTCATTGTAGGAATCCAGGGAAGGCGTTGCGAGCCTGGAGAAGGAAGAGGGCTCAGCCGTCCGCAGCCGGGGCAGGTGAGGAGCAGGTTTCACCATCACTCGGTGACTGTGGGCAAAGCCGTTCAAAGGGACCTGGGTGAGTGCGGAGACTCATGAGTGCCTTCCCTGTATCACAGAAGATGGCAGCCTGACGGGTGTGGAGCGAAACAGGGAATGTGAGAGCCACCATGCTGTGCAAGCCACAGGGCCTTGTGGTTGTCTCAATATGAGGATTTGCAGTCAAGGGCAAGGCTCACGTTTATGGCTCACAGTTCTGGGGGGATTTGCGGTGCCATGCACTGGGATTGAGACCACGGAGCCAGATATCACTTCATGCCCACGAGGATGGCTATAGCACCCAAAAAGATGACAGTACATGGTGGGTAGAACGTGGAGAAATTACAACCATCTCACACTGATGGAAGGGTTGTAAAAAGATACGGCACTTTGGAAAAGTCTGGAAATCCCTTGTGGTGCCGTATACTGAGACTGAGAACACAGAGCCGGACAAGGGCTGAGGGAAAGACAGCAAATTGAACGAGTTAGCAGCACAGATCAACCTGCTTGGGAAAATATGACAAAGCTATACCAAGGAAGCAAGTTCCCACCAGGCCTTGAGCATTGCTGGTAAAAAGATTTAGCTGTTTATTTGAAAGGCAAAGTTACAGAGAGAGGGAGAGGGAAGCCGAGATTGGTGGAGATGTGGGGGAGACAGAGAGAGAGGTCTTCCATCTGCTGGTTCACTCCCCAAATGGCCACAGCAGCCAGGTCTGAGCCAGGCTGGAGCCAGGAGCTGGGACTCCATCCGGGTCTCCCACGTGAGTGGCAGAGCCCCAGGCACTCGGGCCCTCCCCCCTGGTTTTCCCAGGGCATCAGCAGGACGCTGGATCAGAAGTGGAGCCGTCAGGACCCCAGCTCTCGCTCTTGTGGGATGCCAGTGCTGCAGCAGCGCTTAGCTTGCTGTGCCACCACACTGGCCCCGGCCGCGTGTATTTTTGAGGAGTCAGAGTTGGGCGTTGTGGGAAGATAGCGAGGGATGCGATGTTCCCAACAGACGAGGCTCCGGGAGCTGTCACAAGGGGCTCTTGGAATTTTTGTCCTTTGTTAATTTATGAAACTTTGTACTGAATTTTACCAAACAGACAGAAAGTGCACAATTCTCAGAATTCTACCGAGTTTATGAAGCACGTTATCCATCTCCTTAGGAAAGGTGTCCACTTGGTAGAAGAAATCTCCATCGGGTTCTGTCTACTCGTTCTGTTCAAAGTTACACCCGATTCCTAGGAGTACCTTGTGGTCCGTGTGCTTGCGAGACACAAAGGCGTTGTCATTGTGAGAGTGACAGGGTGACCACGTGGTGCTGTGGCAGCTGTGGAGTGGCCGCTGTGGCCTCTACTGCAGAGAAAGGAGCCACGAGAGGGGGAGAGTGGTGGGGGCGTCACTGCCTGCCTCCCCGCGCTGTGCTGCTGGGGTTCATGCCCAGGAGCAGTTCCGGGCGGCACAGCGGGAGTTCCGTGTCAGAAATACTAAGTTCTGGGTGTTAACCCCCAATCTGTGGAAATACAGACAGCAAAAGAATGGGAGAATGTGACAAAATCAAGAGAGAGAGAGTGAGAGAGAGA